GCTAGACACGTAGGTCAGAACTCAGTCGTCGCGTAGGCAAGACGAACGCTGTGCATTACCTAGACACGTAGGTCAGAACTACAAAGGAATGTAAGTACGTGTCTATAATCAACGGGCACGAAAAGAGTCTCACCTCAGTCGTCGCGTAGGCAAGACGAACGCTGAGGTGAATGTAACTACTCGTCTGGTATAAGTGGAATCTGGGCGACTGTCATGTAACATACAAATCGGGAATGCCACGTAACGAAGTAGGGGTATACCATATGGAAAGGAATGTCGGGGAACACAATAGAACGAAATGGAAAGAACGTGCGTGATACAGAATGACCATCTGTCAGGAAAACCAGGGTATATGTCAAGGTAACCACGCCGAGTCGGCGCCAGCGCTATGGCTGTCTCGGCGTCAACTGCCGACGTCTCGCTCGTACCTCAACGCGCGCTCGAATCGGCCTCGGCGAGCGCGACGCCTTGCCGATTCCAACATCCTTCCTCTTTGCCAGCGGTTCCTTACCGACTGGCAAACAAACTTGCTTCATCTAGATTGCAGCTGGCAAGACTGTCTAGATGTGAACGGCCACGATCATGACGCTCTCAAAAAAGAGTTTCTTGCGCAATGAGCGAGGGCTTGCAGATTACTTAGAGCTTCTGCAGGGTGCATTACCCTCCTGGGGAAGTGCAGGCTTAGTATAGTTTTATATGTTGTCGCAAACAATCATTAGTCATTAGAAGTATTCAAGGTATCCTGGCAGTAACATGATCATGGTATAAGACAGAGAAAGGCCCGATGGGAGAGCCTGCACCACACCCATAATCCGTCAAAACCCTCGGTTAACGCAGAACACATGTGACTGCAATTCACCCGGATCAACGAAAGTAATTCGTCACATTGCATGAAGAGTTGCTCAAAATTTATTAGCTGTATCACTGCACACATACCGGCCCCTCATGCCTTCTCCTTTAGTTCTTCATCAATACGAATACCCTCAACATCCTCGCTGTCCGCGGATGAGGCGAGATTGGATTGCGGCCCGTGGTAGTGCCTCTATGCGCTATCCACATCACCATAGTCCACCAGTCAGCCACTAGAACCTCTCTGCGATCAACCGAAGGACATAGAGCCGCACTCACCCAGACAAGTACCACACCCTGTTCGTATCGCATGCGGTCAGCAGAGATAGTGAAAATGCAAAGGGGCCTGATACAGAAGAAGGAAGTACGCACAAGCTCATGATGACAATGCTGACAGTGATCACAGACGAGTAGCTCATGTTCTTAGGCGAGACAGGCATCTCATTCGGCAGCGAGAACATGACGCAGACGAAGAGGGTCCATGTTGTGCAGGTGATGTTGGCTGCCCAGCTAAGCAGGCCGTCGCCCATGTAGAACGGGCCGGGTTTGAAGTTGACTTCAGGCAGAACCGAGAGGACAGTCGTGAGCCAGATAGCGCGAAGAGGCGTCCTAGTCGAGCGCAAGACCACGCCAAAGTAGGCTCCATCTGGAAGGCCTGGTATAAAGGGGATGAGGTAAGACACCGGCGAAGGTGAGTAATGCAAATTGTGGCGAACCATGGTCGCGACTATAGGCACAGACAGTGCGTGAGCCTGCTTGAGCCTGGTCTGGCAAACGAAAAAGGCTGTGAGGCAGACTAAGCTCTTCAATGGAAGCGTTTGAGTACGGCTGAGTTCGAGGGACCCGCTCACCCAGAGGAACAACGCAGCCGGAATGCCCATCCTGTTGGCCGGGACCTGTATCGGGTGATGAGGTGAGAATCATCGTTGAAATACCCCCGACGAGTGACTTATCTATAAAACAGCAGTCGGTTGGCCCTGGGAGGTCCTCCCTGAGGACAAAATGGGGACTCGTCTAGCAAAAGGGCGCCATATAAGACTCACAAAAGTCCGGAACATAAAATCAACACGATGTTAAAGAGCCATCCAAATAACCTGATGCCAATGACTTCGGAAAATGGATGGGTCAGCCTAATGAGTGGGTATTAACATGCAACATTCACTAACGAGCTTACCTGCAATGAAGATGGCAGAGGGTGCTAAACAAAGCAGCCATGTAAGAATGGGCAAGGTTCCGACAGAACGGGATAATACACAATCCTGAATAAGCCGCTCGACGAACTTCTTCTTTGCGGTTGACTTCTTTATGACAATATTTGTACGAGAACACGGAAAGCAGTCTCACGAGATTTGTGTCGTCGCGTCATAATCCTCAAGTACGCTCAGACTTTCAAACATAAAGTGCATGCATTTATAATGTAACTTATGATCATCTACATGATCCATGAGAGACATGTGCATACGGTATTGTATCTAGCATGTACCGTTCACCGAACGCTGAGCAATCCAAGCAAGAACGCAACACCGGTGTTCCATCCACCAGTTCCATTGACAATGCTCTTGCTGCCAAACACAAAGTTCGCAGAGTGCATCTATGAGCGGGGCGCCATAACGATTAACACGATAATGATGACGAAGGTCGCCCCGAGGTTCACGAACAAAGCTCGTGGTAGCAAGCGCCAGAGGACCCCGTGTACCATTAGAGTCGCGAACACTCCGACAGTCACATCGGGAGTTACCGTATATCTGGGCGAGACAGCAGCAAGGATCATATTCGCAAGCTCGAACTCGGGCGAGAAGAGTCCGACGACCTGGGCGATGACGCTGAGCCAGCCTACGATGGCGCGGTGCTTCTCGGGGCAGAGTTTCGCGGATGCCGTGTACATCCCGCCGCAAGTCGGGTAGGCGGAGACGATCTCGGCGATGCTCGATCCGAGGGTGAGGCACATGCACGAGCCAAGGATCCAGCACCATGTTACCTTACCGGCATCAAGTGGAGAGAAATGAACTTCTGAGGGCAAGAGATCACACTATGAGGCAGGGTCGCCGAAGAATAGGGGAATATTGAATGTGGCTGTAACACTTGAGCACAAGCCCTAGTGTGCTCGATGGGCCATGAGTAAGGAGCTCCTGCATGATAACAGAGAGTTAGCAGGCGCACCATACTGCTGAACGCGAAGCTGATAGTAGCCAGATTGGTGAATTCCCGCCGGAAGGAAGGCTGGTATCCCAACATCTTGAGCTCCTCATCGTCACTTGTCATCGTCGATGTCTCGCTCCGGTCAGTCGACATGGTGGCGGAAGGGAAGTCGTCATGCTAGTGAGCCTCGGCAGGTTGCAGGATACAAACGGGACTCCGGAGGGAGAGCTCAGGTACGGAAAGATGGCTGCACCTGTGGAGCAGGAAAATACGTATCTACCATGACCGATGCGGGATGAGGTTTGATAAATAGAGCAGGTCCAATCATGTCGTACCAATCTTGAGTGCATGATTTTGACGAACCCGGTCTCACCTCATGCTCGCCGATGCCGCCGTGATGGAACCAATATCGTGCGTTCTTGGCTCGAGATCGGGCCTTCGTAGCCCTTCGCAAGACTCTGAGAGGGATTGACCGAGTAGAGCATGAGAATTCACACTTTAAGTGCAGTGAAATTTAATGGGGCAGATTAAGATGGTGCTGGCCTGTCCAGCAGAAACGGACAAACACTACAGGCAAATACGCTAATTCTGTGCCCGAGAATAAGCAGGAAAATGACCTGGAAAGTAAACATCTTCCTACAGATTTTCGGGCGAGGGATAAGCACGCGGAAAGTTATCATTTTCTGGTGCGTCAAGAGGCCCAATAAGGCAAGTCGAAGCAGAAATTGAATCTCCGCCAGCGCTTAACATCCATAAATGGAAGGAAAGCTTGTTTTTGTCGCCTGAAAATTCACCGGAACATCAAACTTTTTCGGCCTTTATTGGTCAAAAAGAAATATGGAGGAAAATATTTACTTTCCAGTGCATTTTCCTCCTTATTTTCGGATCCAGAATTATCGCATTTGCCTGTAGTGAAAGGAAAGTTCAGAATGGTTCATGATCACGTTGTGATCGCGCGCTCCGACGAGTGCGCGTTGATGTTGTCGACTTGAGGTGCATCATCAAGGAAGTTACCGGCCGGCATTCGCAGAATCACGCTCAACCTATGCTTTCTCCTTTGCTCCAAGAAACAACTGATTCTACAAGTAAGCCCTTTAGCTTATTATTATCATTTTTCATCATCTCGTTACTGACCTTTTGTTTCCCAGTGGCTTCCAACGCACCCCTCAACCTCGACCCGGAGTTCCTCAAGTTGTGTCTTGCCACTTTCAAGAACCAGACAAACCATTCTCCCGTCTCCCCGACGCCCACACTCGTCTCTTCTTCCATGGCCTCCGTCTTTGCCAAGCTCGACGTCGACGGGAACGGGGAGACCAAGGATATCGTAGTCTCTGACGCATCCCGCCTCACCAACTACTACCTGGCCGCGTACAAAGACTTCTACGGCTTGCCCAGCAACCCTCCCTGCATCTACAAGTCGGGCCCAGCCTGGCATGAACGCACGGGCCCGGAATCGTATCGTATCACTCGTGAAGCTCGCCCTGTCTACGACCACCCCATTGCCAACCAATGGCGCGCTTTCGGCACGAGCATCTACCAGTTCCTCGACTCCCAGAGCATCAAATGGACTTCGATCGACCCCGTCGCTTTTGCCGAAGAGGGGGAGGTGAAGCCGTTCTGCCCACTCCTTATGTGGATTGGGGTCTATCCAGAGTCTCTCCTCTACAACGCTGCCGTGGCTGCGGCTGAGGCCATCAAGGAGATCCTCGCTCAGGCTGGTTTCCCCAAAATCGAAGTCGCCTTCCGCGAGTCGGTCGTCACCCGGTCTATCGCTCCGGGCCCCAAGTTGCTCCCCTTCAACCCTCTTCGCGACCCCGTCCCTGAACTCCTCAAGCCCTTCACGCCCACGCTCGGCCTCTCCATAGCGCCGCTGAGGACGCCGTACTACGAGGGCACAGGTGCCCTATACCTCCGCGTCAGCAGCGCCGACAAGCGCACCCTCCTCCTCACCGCCGCCCACGTTGCTCATCCTCCTCCCGTGTTCGCCAACACGGGCATGTCGCGCAGGCGCAACAGCCAGGCTGCCGAGGAGATTGTTGCGCTTGGAGACAAGGGCTACAGCAACGCTGTCACGAGCATGTTGAGTGCGATCGGTGACCTTGCTAGCTCGATCGACATCTGGAACGACAATATTGCCAGGCTGCCCGAGCCTGCCGAGGGCGAGGAGGAGGATGAGGACACGGCCGACAAGCGCCAGGAGTACCTGGACCTGGTGAACAAGGCGAACAAGAAGATCGAGAAGATAAACAAGCTTCACGGCGACGTCACCCGGTTTAGGACGACCCCGGAGCAGCGCACCATCGGTTTCGTCCGCCACGTCGAACCCATTGCCGTCAGCGACGGACCCCACCAGTTTACCCGCGATTGGGCGTTGATCGAACTCTACGAGGAAAAGATCGACTGGGGCTCATTCAAGGGCAACAAGGTCTATATTGGTACGTTTTCCATCTCTGGCCACGGTATCGTCCCATGGTTTTAGCTGACTATTATATTTATCCCCGCAGGTGGGAACCTCTCGTCGTCCGACTACGGCAAGATCATGTTCCCACGACCCGATGACCAGGCCGACTACAAGTACCCGCGCGACGGTCTCCTCCAGGCCTACGGTATCGTGAAGGACAAAGAGATCCGCTCGCCCCAGCACCTCGACTCCAACGGCTACAAGTGCCTCCACGCGGTGAAGAACGGCCTGGCCACAGGCACCACGGTAGGTCGCGTCAACGGGTTGGACTCGTTCACTCGCATGTACAGCGAATACGGCATCGAACAGACGTCCGTCGAGGTAGCCGTCCTGCCTTACGACAGAAAGAGGGGCGCCTTCTCTTCCCCCGGAGATTCTGGCGCCATCGTCCTCGAGAGGGGCGGCGGTATTGTTGGCATGCTCACTGGCGGTGCCGGCGCGACTGAAGAGACCGATACCACCTACCTGACCCCGTACTGGTGGCTCGACGAGCAGATCAAGAAGATACTTCCTGGCTGCTACCTCTACGACGTCGTCCAGTAGATGGCGAGTTTGACGCGCAACAGGCTCCTCAACGGGCTCCTCAATGAACTTCTCCTCTTTTCTGTCGTCTCGTCTCGTCTCGTCTCGTCCCGTCCCGTCCCGTCTCGCCCCGTCTGTCCCGTCTGTCTCGTCTGTCTCGTCTGTCTTGTCTGTTTTGTCTGGCTCTTCTCGTCTGTCTCGTCTCCACGCTCGCTCTTTCCCCGCCGTCTCGCTTGTCTATCTATTATCAGCTCGTTGTCGATGCTGATGTGGTGGGCCCGTCCATCGGCTACTTCTCCAATATCTGTGTACCGGTATCCAAACTCTAGAAGGATTCCACGAGTATGATATCTTTGCTCTTTACTGTGGGCTTTTCCTCCCTCCTTTCCAGCAGTTCCTTGCCGACTGGCGAACAAAATTGAATGGGCTAGACAGCAACTGGCAGGAGTGTCCAGATGTGATCAGCCACGATCAAGACGCCCTCAAGAAGCAGTTCCTTGTGCATTACGAACGAGGGCTCGCAGATTACCTAGAGCTTCTGCAGAAGCATTTCCCTCCCAGGACGGTTCGGCCTTAGTGTAGAGATTGATGTCGTCGCGAACATCCATTAGCCGTGATAATAAAATACAGTTTCAAACTCTCTTATGGTCTGTTCCATGACCAACAACTCTCAAAATGGTTGCTTTACTCTGTTACGTGTTAACTCTCTCAACTCTGCGCTAATGCCGCTTTCTATGGGTTTAAAGCGAGCTAGTATTGCTGAGACCCTGGTTCAAATTCAGCGTAACTCAGAAAGTGAGCTGTCCTTTAATGGCTAACGTGATTGCTACATATGACATAAGTATGAGGCTCAACGTTCAACGTTTACAGGCAATTGGTTTTAGGCACGTAACGTCTAAACACCGTGGCACCCGCAGCTTGTGATATTATTGAGAAAGACATCATAAGTCACTCGGCAAAAGCCGAAGAGCTGGACTGGCGTGTGTCCTCTTGTACTCTTCAAGTTACTTTGTTCATATGCCTCTTTGAAACATACCCCTTCAGCACCTCGCGTTATGAAGCGTTCTTGAAACAACGTAATCTGCCATAAAGTGATTATAATGAACCAGGAAATCGATAACTCCGGCATTTTGTGTTATCCTATTCGCGACGATATATGCCCACCTGAAGCGAGCAACTGGTTACCTTCGGCGCTGAGTAACTGTAGGCAAGTTGACTCAACACCCAGGTCTTTCCCTAACATCAGTTATTGCAGCAATACAGGCATCTTTGGTGTAGCCAACCATGAATTGGCCACGCTGGCCGCCGCAACAGAAGAAAACAGCGTTCTCGACGTACCAGCGAGGCTCACACACCTCGTCCGTCTTGTCGCGCACGGGTCATCGGCGCTGGACGCATTTATACTGTTTGTGCTGGAGTATTGATTACCTTGTGCTTATGCCGACTATGGATGCCAGAGAGAATGCAAGTTTTGCGACTTCTAGACCATGCATACCCAACTATCTCGACTTGGCACGCTTTTACCCCCTGGCTTGCACTGCGGCTCTTTTGGTGATGCAAACGGCTTGGGATGACGTGTCAGAAGAGTTCGGCAGCGGTGATTTGGTGCGCTCTACCAGTTTCATACTCTCAAACATTCATTGACGCGATTGTATTCGCTATTAGGACGAGGAGAGCCCTCAGGTTGATGATGTTACGGATGAGTCCGAGAATATGATGTCTGAGACGCCATCTAGGGCGTCCGACCACGAGACAGTACCTTCGTTTCCCGTGTCCCGGGAGTCTTCTCAGTCGCCACCTCATGCACGTTGCAGCTGGGAGCCCATTGATAATGTCGACTCAAACTCTCAATACTCCCTATTCGCGCAACACCAAGAGTATCCTGACTCGATTTCTATCGCTTGCATAGCAGATCAGTCCGTCATCATCTCGCTGCTGAGGAGCGCTGTTTATCGGCGCCTAGCGTGGGGTACAACGGATCCCGTGATGGGGCTCGGATTTTCACCTGGGTCGCCTATGGTGCAAGTCTTCATTGCGTGGCCCAGTACAACCTGGGAGGATGGCTTGGTACGTTAGAGCTTGAAAAGATCTCTAGGTACGCCAACAAAACCTGGTTTCATAGCCTCTGGTGGCCATCACTGGTGATTGGTCGGAGGACCACACTCTAGCAGTTGACCGGTTCGATCTCACCTTCCCTGCAACCACCTATGAACTTGTCCACTATCTCTCGAAAGTCTTCGAGCTTGCCAAACATGCAAATTGCTCAGGACAAGCTCGTTGGCTGGAATGGCGCTTTGATTTTGCCAATTATGACAAGATGGAGAGCATAACCGTGGATAAGATGGCTTCCATCCGAGTATGGGCAGAGGAGGCCATGCCTACGGATGCTGACGAAAGATGGCCTTTTCGTGACAATGTACTGCCAAAGGCGCCTTTATCACCCGCGGAACCGTCTGTTGACGTATCCGCTAGGTCTGTCTGCCACGTTCCTTTGCACTTAGCTACTAACTCTTCCAAAGTGAACCACAAGACGTTGGTCCACCTCTGAGATGGACATATTTAGAGTAAGTCCCTCAGCATCGCCAATTCAGCCCCACTTATCACTGGCAGTATCGCATCTGGAGCTGCTGATATGAAACACCCCTACGAAACCCTTCATCAATGGCTGTGGAACCGCGTCGCCTGTCTACGTTCGGTATTACCACTGATCGACATGGGCACCATTCACCCATATTATGTGTCTCTTTCCCGTTTTGCCTGGAATGAGGGTTGGGATCAGTCGGTACGTTCCTGGAATGCAGCCCCGTGAAGTTGCCACGTTCGCATATTGATTTTGGTTTAGGTGAACGAGGAGAACATTCACCCCAAACTCAGCCCTCTAAGAAGCGAGCTGCTACAACAGAAATCGGCCTACCTTACAACTGCGATGGCGGACTCACTGAATGAACATGCAGCTGCTGACTTGCTAGCCAAAGTCTGTATTGCTATGGCGGCTTGTTCGGCGGCAAGAGAGCAAAGTAAAGCTGCAGAGCAATATGGCACTTCGGCAGCTTGCGATCACATCTGGGACGGTCTGGTATCTAGTTTGCACGGGACATCTTCGAACGTACGGTGCGCACTCCAAAGCTATTTGAGCTTATAGCTGGCTCACATACACTTGGAAATAGGTATCTCCCAGCCGTCGCCCTTCCAAGGAGTGCTCTCACAGACCGCTGTAAGGATCCAGGCTGGCTAGCTTCGGCTAGATACAACATCAAACAACACAGTATTTACGGGAGCCAACATCGCGACGCGGCGAAGTTGCTCGCCGGTCCCCATTCAACCCTGGGCGAGCAGGCCATTTATGCAGGCCTTCTTTCCATCCACCCTGGTCTCAGTTACAGCAAAACAACCGAGCATGATGTCGAATCCGAGGATGGGTTTGAGGGAGTTTTGAATCTGGTAGCAAACGATCCCGTTGAAGCAATATGCGATGTTGTGTGCACAATCTTCATACCTAATCTTGTTAGCAGCGACTCTTCCGCCACCCTACAACATGCTGCGGAGAGATTTTGTCTGCTCCCTCGTGAACCGGACCAGGCAACTGCGCGTGCACGCGGTGGGACTGCTTACTATCACGGCATCTGCGACCTGCCCTCCGAACATTCCGGCCTCGCGTCTGCCTACGATCTATTCTGCGCGAACGTCCGTTCCGCCGGCCTGTCTCCCGAAACACCAGATTCTCTCGACTTTGGCATCCTTTCGGCTCCTCCAACCGTCTGCCGGCTATCATTCCTGTGGCCTGACAGCAAGCTGGAAAAATTGCAGGCTGGACATCCCCCACCTTTGGCACCCGATCATCCAGACGAGAGTGGGCGACCAGGTACTGAACAGTTGACCGCCGCTGAACAGTCCCTCGCGCTTGAATTGCCTCTACTGCTCGTCAACCACACACCTCCTGAGAAGATCCTTGCGTACATTGGGTCGCACAAGCACCGGATGACTGCGACTGCCGCCGCAACGTTCTTTGGGGCTGTCGGACTCACTGGTGTCCCCGTTTTCAGCCTGGTGACGGACGGGTGTCGTGCAGTCCTTACATGCGCGTGGGCCGAGAAGTTCGGGAGTTTTCAGGTCGGTTCTCTACTCAACCGTTCACACTTCACATGCTGATCTTACTGTATACTTGGTCTCTTTGGGACAGCGTATCAAAATCGCGGAGCGGAACGGTGTCCTGTTCGATCTTCGGAATCCGTTGTCGGCCTTCCACTTTGCGACCTTTCTCGTGCGTCTCAAGCACGAGCACGGTCAGAAGCTGCGAGAGCGATTCGATGACCAAGCGCTGGCTCACCTGCGCGAGCGGCTGGAGCAAGGCGAGTGGGAGACGCGGTGGACGATGTCGCATTACGTTGCAGAGCAGTCGAACGGGGACATGTCTTGATCACCTTGATAAATCCCGATTTATAATAGACTGACGTGAAGCCACGGACTTTTGCATCACTGGGCAAACTGCAGCTGATATCGAAAGTGCAGGCTGTTTCTACTAACCTGGTATCATTGTCGTGCCTGCTTTCACCACATTGACGAGGAAGCCCACGAAAGCAACAGCCAATGTAATCGGAGGCTAGTCCCCAACGTATGGTTATTGTGCCTGTTTTTCTTGACCCGTCCTCATAGGCCGTACGTCTCGGGTTCAACAGATCAGAGCCATTTCTACATTGGTCTCGACAGCGTAACAGCCGCCTTGGGGCATGCCTCGAGGTGAACTGCCATGACTGGACACGCCAGCGACAGGCCCGCCTTAACAACTCACAGCCTCGGCCTTGACAATCGCATTGGCGGAGCATTCACAATATCTGCAAGCCCACACTTCCTCAGTCTCAGACCAGATCTACACAGAACAGCTATCCCATTCACTTTTCTTCTTCTCAGAAACAATACACAAAACTCTGCGTGACGATGAGAGGGCTAGGCATACATAGCGGCTTGAGGATGAGGACGAGGATGAAGTTGAGGATGAGGTGCGTGAATGTGGATATGGAAGCGAATGAGGATGAGGTGGTAAATGGGTGAGTGATGAGCGTGCTATGAAATCGGATGGCAGGACGATGAGTATGGAGGGAGAATGGAGGGAGACGGGGAAACGGGGGGTGCTTAAAGACGCATAAATAGGTGGGGTAGTCCGTGATAAATGGGTAAGAACAAGAAATGAAACTGAAGCTGGAATTGTTATCTGGGTTATGTGGGGTTATATGTCACGCAAACTTGAGACGCAAAGAAAAGAGATTGGGAGACGGGGATATGAACGGGGTGAGATTAGAATGTAAAGATAAGAAATAGAAAGGCCACAGAAAAATGAAACATGGTATCACGCGTCCGGTATATTGACAGACGCAAGACGTGCTCACTACGGAGCGAAGAGCGTAACAGAACACGGGCGGCGCAGGCGAGCAAATGGGAGCAATAATGGAGCAGGGGAGAGGATGCGTGTGGACAAGGGCGCGGTGCGATGCGAGGGACAACATGTCGATATGATGCAGGACTAGAGAGACAGCAGATGACAAGACGACGTGCGTGAACGATTAGGTAGGTGGTAGAAGGCGATGTGTGGGCGGTTCGTGAAAGCGAAGCGTGTGGTCTGATCATGGTTGGTGCATTGAGTGTTGCACGTCAGAACACGTTAGTCGTGGCTGTATCTTCGGTGTGGTCGTCAAGAAGAAACATAATGTTGTTGAACGCATTGCGACGTTCAAATCGGCTTATAATCGTGCCAGGTGCGTGTCGTGATCGGATCAAGACGAGACGTTATTGTTTGGGATTTTTCTTCTCTCGTTTGCCTCTGTTTCTTCGCTGCCGTCGCCTTCACATCCTCACGCAGGAATAATACTCGCCCTCCTCGCCGTCTTCGCCCCCGCCCCCGCCTTAGCACCACCAGCAACCCTACTCGGCACCGGCGTCCGCTCGTTGCTCGTGCTCGCTACACTCGACCCCAACGTCGCATTCCCGTTCGCATTCTCCTTACCCTCGCCCGCGCCCTCGCCCGCACTCAGCGCCGACACCCCGCCCACGCTAGCCCGCTTGCGCGCCGCAGCGCCCTGTGCAGCCGACGTGCCCGAGCCAGAGCGGCTCACAGGCGGCGCCTCCGCGTCCGAGGGCGAAGCATCGACGTCAGAAGAAGCATTGGTTCACGTCGCCTCTTCCCCAAGAAGGTCAAGTCCAGTCTCCACCTCCAGACTGACATCCATGGTTTGTCTTCTTCTTCTCTCAACCACAGGCTCATCCTCGACATCACTTCAATCCTCAGCAGAACCCCGCGAATCCGTCGAATCCATCGCCTCCCCAATCTCCCCAGCAGAGTCCATGACCGCCCAGTTCTCCAACAACCAGTTCCACTCCTCCGTCCGCTCCATCCTCCGCGACCCCAAGACCCCTGGGTCAGGCCAGAATGTCCGCTTCTTTGCCCGCCAGCGTTCCAAAACGCCCTCTGCCACCAGCGCAGACAACTCTGCCGCCTCTGATCCTTCCTACTTTTCAGTGGGCTCGCGCGCCCGGTCACGCACTCCTGTCATGGAGCTCTTCTCACCTCCCAACGAAGGTCGTAGTCAGGATGCTCAGCGTCCCTCTAACCCACCTCAGGCGGACAACTCAAATATCTTCGACATGTCACAAAATGACGTCCCCGCCATCCCTCATGCCCCCGAAGACCCCGTTCAGCTTGAAGAGCCTGCTAATTCCGATGAACACAAGCAGCCCTTCACGTCCACACCTGCTCGTGCGCTACTTGATGGCATAAAAGAGCCCTCTGTCTTCAGCCCTCCTCTTCCGGCACAGGACGAGAAGCAAAAGTTCTCTTCTCTGTCTCGTAGCCGAGCCATGTCCGACTCCGTTTTCTCGCGACTCGCTCGCGTCGCCTCTTCCCACCCACTCGTCGAGGTCGACAACGATGACACCCAAACCCTCGCCAACGTCAGGTCCGGAGCTCGGACACCGCCTCCTCTCGCTCCTCCCGGCGGTCCAAGCAGTCCACCAGACCCCTTCCGCGCCAACGCAAACACATACTACACTCCGGGATCCGACGTCCCCCCAACACCCCCGCACGCCCTTCAGCGGCACACCTCCAACCCCTCCGGCTCCTCCAGCAGCACCCACTCACGCAGCGATTCGGGCTCCTCCTCCGCGTCCAACGTCCACTCCCAGATCATCTCCCTCCGCACCCAACTCACCCTACACCAGTCCCTCGTCGCGCAATACGAAGTCGACCTCGCCGCGCGCGACGAGATCGTGCACTCGCTCCAGTCCTCGCTCTCCTCCGCCCAGGGCAAGCTCTCGGACGCCGACAAGCGACGACAACAAGTCCGCGCATGGCGCAAACGCGTCGCGGAGCTCGAGCGCGTCGTGCGCGGGCTCGAGGGCGAGGTCGAGCGTTCGCGCGAGGAGTCGTTTGAGCGCAGCATCATGGACGAGGCGAGCGCGGGTGCGCTGCGCGCGCTGCAGACGCGCATATCGGAGCTGGAGCGCGAGCGCGAGACGAGCTGGCGCGTGTCGGGCGCGTCGTCGAGCGATGCGAGTGCCAGCGCCAGCGCGAGCACGGGGCGACGGAGCGTGCTCAGCACGAGCGACGCGCACAGGGACACGCGCGAGGTCGAGGAGCTGCTGACGGTGCTCGCGGCGAAAGACGAGGAGATCGCGCGCCTGCGGAGTCAGACGCTCGAGCAGACGGCGGAGGTGACAGATATGATCAGCTCGAGCGTGTACGCCGACGCGCGCTCGCGCTCGCGTTCACGTTCCATCGAATCGCTGCATCCGCAGAACTCCTCCGCCGAGGCGGAGCTCGAGCACGCGCGTGCGGAGCTCGACGCCGCCAGGCGGGAACTCGCGCGGCTGCAGGACGAGCGCGAGTCGTTGCACCATGATTTCAGCGCCGTGCAGCACGCGCATGACGTGCTTACGCACGAGCACAGTACGCTGCGCGCGGAGCTCGAGGCGCAGTGGGCGCACACGGAGCGGATGGGCGCGCAGATTGCGGGGCTGCGTGGGGAGCGCGATGCGGCGCTCGGCGAGAAGGATGCGTTTGCAGCGGCGAACGAGGCGCTGGCGCAGAAGAAGAGTGTGTTGGCAGCTGAGGTGGAGGCGCTGCGCGCGGCGAGCGGGGATAGTGCCGAGCTCGCGAGGAGGAATGGGGAGCTCGAGGAGCTGCGTGTGGTGCTGGAGGCGCGTATTTTGGAGATTGAGGAGGGGTGGGTGACCAGTCAGAATGAGCGGTTGCATCTTGAGAGCGAGCGTGACGAGGTACTGTCTTGCCTTCATTTATCCTATGTCGTATGACTAACGATGCTTTCTACAGCTCACCAAACAGCTCGAGGACGCCCACTCCCAGATCGACGATCTTACTACCGCGCTGCAAGACCACTCGGAAAAGCTCTCCGACCTCGAGTTGGAGAAACTGATGCTCCTGAACAACTACGCCCACATCGAGTCCACAGTCGACGAGCGCAACACCGAGATCAGCACGCTGCAGACGCGGGTCCGCAACACCGAATCCGAAGCCGAGTCCCTCCGAGCACAGCTCTCCGCCGTCTCGCGCGAGCACAAGCGCGTCGCAGACGAGCAGTCGCGGCAGATCGCGGAGCTCGCCGCGCGCGAGTCGGGCGTGCGCGCGCAGCTCGAGGCGCTGCTCCGCTCCGCCGCGGAGAAGGATGGGCAGGAGGGCGAGGAGCTCGGCCGCGCGCGCAAACGCGTGCGCGAGCTCGAGAAGGCGAGCGCTGACAGGGAGTTTGAGGTGATCCAGCTGCAGCGCGCGAACCAGAAGTGCAAGGAGGATGCGGAGGGGATGAATATTGCGTTGGACTCGAAGCAGCAGGAGCTTGAGCTGGTGAGTTGTGCCCATCCATTCCCCCAAGAACGTGTGTTGATCATATGTATTTTTATAGCTTAAACGCCGTATGGGTGTCCGCGGAACAGCCGGGACCACGCCCGCGCCCGCCAAGATCGCGTCCCGGCGCGAGTCCTTTGCGCCCTCGTCAGTTGCCAGCACCCCGTTCATCCGCCCGGGCTCCGCCATGTCGACCGCATCGGAGACGCCCAGCGTCCGCGCGGGCGCACTCGCAACGAGCAAGCGCGTCAACGGCGCTCTTGCCGCTGCCGCTGCCGCTAAGGGCTCGACAGCTGCCAAGCGCTCTACACCCCCTACACGCGCATCGCAGGCGCAGGCACAAGCTGCCACCGCCGCCGTACAGCGTTCAACCGGCGCTGGCCCGCGCGCCAAGTCCCCTGGTGTCGGCGTAGGCACAAGCGCGGGTGCAGCGTCGCGCCGTGTGTCGTTCTGGACCGATATTCTTGTACGCTTGCGAGACCGTTGTCGTTGTCAGAGCCAATGTTGAACGTTGATGTCACTGCGGAAAAACGCGGATTATCGATCAGAGGTGGATTCGGCTCACGCGATGAATTCAAGTCGGATGGTCGCATTTTTTATGTATCTGTGGTCGACTCGTGCCGGATCCGTCGTCGATCCGTCGCCCACGAAATCTAGGACTCGCTTAACCGCCCCTATACCCGGGTCAAACTTTTCGATCCCCTTCCTATCCCTGCAGTAGCTCTGCTAGCCACCGCTGTGCGTGCTCGTTTCTATTGCTGGTTTCAATTTACTAACAGTAATAACTATAGATACAAGCCAGAATTGAGGACTGGATCAAAGACAGATCCCCACGAATGTACCAGTTTGACCGCAGAAAGTATGGACCTATCTTTCAGTCTCATATCAACAACCTCAAGAAGTTTGAGCACGTCGCGAGGGGCGCAGGTTCAGACATCTTCGACGTCCATTGCTCAAAACGGCCTGGTGAGTTGAGATTTCTTGTTGCAACTTGAAGACTAAAATTATTGTATGACTGTAGTAATAATGCCAACGTTGTATGCCCCAGAAAAGGCCACCCTGCTAAGCCCGCTGTTGCTTCCTCTGGTCCCCTCCCTGATGCTGACTTCATCGACGCCATCAATGCGTATCGGTCTCGTTCACGTGCCTCTAGCAAGGCTTCAAGTCAGGTTATGGGTGATGATGCGGACGATCAAGATGAGGACGCGTAGCATTTTTGTATATGTCAATGCATTTTATAAGCTCGTAATCCATACGTTTTGGCTTCAAATACCTCGTTTGACGCACAGCTTGTTTGATACTTGGCAAAAATATTGTCATATTGGAAGTGAATGCACCCTAATTTGGCAACCAATTACCCCTATCTCAGACACGCGTATGCAACCGCTGGTTATTGACAGCTAATCGCAGTGGAGGGCAGGTATTCCATCCCAATAAAAGGCCTTGTTGAGCGTATTAGTTACGATTACTTACAAATAGTTATTACGTACAAATACCCGAAGTGTCGGACTATAAGTTGGACTATTATTCAGCATGACATCATTGCGTTACTTTAGATATCCAATAGGATCACTCCTTAGTACTGTACAGTAGTTACTGTCACATCACTCTCCTTAGTATATAATCCCTAGGACTAGCATACTAGGAATACAAGTTCTCTCTCTATTGAACTACCATCGCAACCAAGCCTCAAAACACCCAAACAACCAACCTACCTATCAGGTGAGATTATGGAACCTTCCACTGCCTATGATGATGCTTTGTCATTGTTTTAGGTTATGAGCCCCGCAGGGGTTCAGCCTTTGCACTACCTATAGTGGTCAGGCTACACCTGCGTCTCACCTGAGTTGCCTCTATTCAGAGGTGCTCACTATCGTTTTCGACATCAGTCGCTAACGAGTTGTATCAGATATGTCTTCTCAACATGACGACACCAACTCGATCCCCCTCTTCAAAGGCCACGAGTACGTGCGCTGGAAGGGGCGCATCATTGTGCATGCCATGTACAAAGGTTACAGTGATGTCCTTTTCACTGAGTTGTTGCCTCCTACGGACGCGACCAAGCTCGAGAAGTAGAACGATCACGCACTCCAGGCCAAGGGGCTGATCATGAGGTGCTCCGATGAGAACGTCCATCAGCACTTCGCCCACCTCACTGATACTCCGAGCCAGATCATGACAAAGCTTGACGTCGAATACAGTGTCGCCGCGTCTGGAACGGCAGCCATTTACGAGCTGTTTGTCCATCTGCTCAAGATCAAGCTGCCCGCCAAGGGATTGCTGCACCCGGTGTTCGACAGGTTCAACACCACGTGCACCCGTCTCAAAGACCTGGGCCTCGAGCTCAATGAGAGGTTCAGGGCAATGCTCCTCATGCACAAGCTCCCACCGTCATACAAGACGATTGCGGAGATGCGCAACGCCGAAGCTAAGGAGCTCAAGGACTTAAAGGTTGCTGACATCAAGTCGGCTGCACTTTGCCACCAGACGTGCATGCACACCGTGGCGGTCACCAAGAGCGGCAGCTCTAACAAGGCTCAGGGTTCCAAGCTGAACCACTCGACTCCGCAACGCGTTGAGGTGAGTAAAGCCGTGGCTATTAAATGCCACGATGCTGACCCAGCCTGGAAGTCCCAGCAGCAGCGGAAGGGCGGTCAGTCTGACCAGCGCCCGCAGCAGCAGAGGACCAGGCACCGGAAGGGCCGCCATTCTTACAAGAAGGGCAAGCGCGCCTACGGTGCGGATGATGAGAACAATGCTATGCTCGCCATGTCGGCTGAAGCAGGCAAAGCTTTCGGCACACTGCAGTTGTTGCCTGCAGCATCGCGAGCTGGTTCACCCAAACCCGAGTCTGGCTCTGAAAAGCCTTACTCACCGGCCCAGATGAACTTCAATAACAATCTCGAGGTCTCTGAGCCTGTCCGCAAGGACAAAGGAAAGCCACGTGAAGTTGTGAGTACGGTTAAATGACACAGAGGCAGAGCCTGAACTCCACTCGCGGCTCAACAAAGTTGTCAATGAGGACATTGAGCCGTAAACCGGGGGGGGGGGGGGGGTAGGGTTGCGATCGCTCACAACAGCATGACCAGTCATGACCTATATCTATTTTTAGCCACTTTATATTTTCTCAAGTCACGTGACCGGTCTGGGCCCAACTATAAATAGTTCTCATCACGTGATCATAATCGGCCACTCCACAATGACAACATAGATGACATCATAACTACGTCATAAACGCATCATCACCGCGTCATACATGACCTCATACATACGTCACTCTTTTAACCATTAGTAGTAGTACACGGCATAGCATGGTCTGTGCATCCACAGTCATTACCATACGTAGATACTTGTTTGGCTTAACCAAACAAACCTGTACTTGTATATAGTCTGAGCAATGAATCGCCCCAAGACTCTAAGTGAGTTCTTGTGGGATTACCTCCTACAAATCGTATACCTAGTCTTGCCACGTCGGCAAGCAGTCAAACATCCCGCTTTACCTCTTGGCGTCGTCCCGTACGGGGCTTTGTTGTCTATCTGGGGGTTGGTTCTTGAGTGTAGTGGTTGCCTTGGGCTCGCGCCTTAGGAGTCGTTCACAGATTGGACTTGTGACGTCCCATTTTACCGCGTCCACCACCCTGGCCGCCTCAGCGTCCCACATCTGAGTGATGGGGATGCGAAGAGGGTGCCTGGTATGGGTTGTCATGCGGGACAGGGAGTCCGTTGGACTTTTGTCCGCTGACTCGTTCTTCTGAGTGTACGCGTCTTCCTCCACGTATATCTCTGCGTGAAACGCTGAGCGCGGAGAAGCAATTGGTGATGTCTGCACTGACCTCCTTTCCTCCGCGATCTCATTGGGAATCTAGATTGGAGTATATCAGCGCATGCCGGGTTCCAGTTAGTCGCGTGTCGTAAAGAGTCGTGAAAACAAGCCACTGTTGATCCCCCGCATCCTCCGCGGTGCATTTGGGTTTCTCCGGCAGAAGTCGGATAACTTAGCTTGAGCATTAGATAAATGGGATTCCGGTTCCCAAGTGCGAGCGTCTATGTCATAGCCCTTCCAGTGGACTAGATATTCTAATTTGCGCCCGCGCATTCTAGAGTTAATTATGGATTCAACCTTGTACTCTGCGTGGCCTTCCTCATTGACTTCGGTTGGACCGGGATGATCAGTGCATTGACCATCCAAACGGTCAATAAATGGTTTGATGCGGCTTACATTCACTACCGGGTGACAGCACATATGAGATGGGAGGCGCAGTTCGACTGCGTTTGGACCCATTAATTTAGTTATGGAGTATGGTCCAAGCCACCGCTCTGCTAGTTTTCTTGATGGCCGATCAACAAGATTAAGATTAGATGAAGATAGCCAGACTTCATCTCCAATCTTGTACTCGGGCGCATCACTTCTTTTCTTATCCGCGGATTGTTTCATCTTCTCCTTGGTCCGCTCCAAGGCCTTCCTCGTGACTTCCAGAGTTTGCTCCATCTCTGCTTTTGTCTTGGCAGCAGCCTCAACCTTCCCTTCAAGGGGTTCTACTCCCATTCTAGGCGGGTAACTCATAGTAACCTCGAATGGCGATTGTCCAGTCGCGGAGGTTCTAGTGTTGTTGTGCACAAATTGCGCCAGTGCTAGCCATTCTGCCCACGTGGACTGTTTGTCGGAGCAGTACATCCGGAGGTACTTTTCCAATTCCTGATTGATACGCTCCGTCTGACCATCTGTCTGTGGGTGGTAGGCTGTAGAATAATTATTTTTGATGCCCAGCATCTTTGCTAACTTGCGAGAGAACTCGCTTGTGAATTGTGGTCCACGGTCCAATACTACTGTTTCTGGCAGGCCGTGGTCCTTCCAGATATTATCCCGATACAATCAAGATAGCTCTATCAAAGAGACTTTGTCCGTGGTAGGTATAAATACTGCTTTTTTGCTAAATCGGTCAACGACTACCAGAATCGCGGTGAAGCCTCGCAAGCTTGGTAGCCCTGTGATGAAGTCGGCTGAGATATCCTTCCACGGGGCCGAGGGTACAGGCAGCAGTTGGAGTTTGCCTGCCGGTGCCTTACCTGTGCCCTTGTTCCTTCCGCATTGTTGACACGCTCCAACGTACTCTTGTACCGTGTCCTTCATATCTCTCCACCAATAATTACGCTGTAGCAGCTCCAGCATGCGTTCTACTCCCGGGTGCCCAGCACCTGGGTTATCATGATGCATGTCCAGCAGCTGCATGCACAAGCTGTGATCATGTGGCACAAATATTTTATTGTTTATATAGCAGAGACCGTCCCGCATCTCTATTTCTTTGTTTTTAATATTTATGAGGGTTATATCGATGTTTTTAGATTTTCTTCTAATCGCTGAAACCACATCCATGGCCTTCAACTTGAGATTGCGGATGCCGTGCCAATCTACATTTTTGAATGGCGGTAGCATCGTTATTCCCTTATTTTCTTCTCCCACGCCCTTGGCATGATCCTCTCTCCTACTAAGGGCATCGACCTTTCCCATGGAAGATCCCTTGTGATAAATAAGATCATAATTAAATCTGGTGAGATACTGCCACCAGCGCGCTTGTTGACGTTTGAGGTCTTGACCTTCCATGAAATAGGTTAAGTTTGCATGGTTGGTCCAGATCTCGAACTTGATGTGTGACCCTTCAAGATATTGTCACCAAGCTTGGAGCGCTCGTAGGATGGCAAGTAGCTCCTTATCATAGATAGGGTAATTAAGTTCTGCGCCTGTCAGAGCATGTGATATAAAGGCACACGGGTGCCACTTTTCATTGTCCAATAATACCGAGAGTACTGCTCCAGTCGCAAAGTCGGAGGCATTGGCTTCTACTCACATTTGTCGACTGTTGTCAGGGAATGCGAGTATGGGTGCTGTTGTGAATGCCTTTTTCAGACTTTTGAATGCAGTTTTCTCTTTTTCTTCCCACCTCCAGGGCTCATCTTTTTTGGTGAGGTCATGCAACGGCCTGGACATTTTTCCAAAGTCCTTGATGAATTGTCGATAGAAATTGGCAAGTCCGATGAACAATCTGACGCCTTTCACGTTCTTTGGAGTTGGCCACGAGGTGATTGCATCGACTTTGTCCGAATGCATCTCCACCACCCCATTTCCCACGAGGAATCCAAGGACGTCGACTCGTTCAACCAGGAAGCTGCATTTCTCTGGTTTCACAAATAGGTTGTTGTCCCTAAGCCGTTTTAGAACCTCCTTTACTTTTTCTAGATGGGCCTGCTTATCTTCATCTTTACTAAATATAAATATATTGTCTATATATACAACAACGCAGTTGTCCATATCTCCCAGCACGTTGTTCATCATGTTTTGAAATGTGGCTGGCGAGTTACATAATCCAAAATACATAACTTCTGGTTCAAAGGAGCCCAGAGGTGTGGTGAACGCTGCCTTCCACTGATCACCTTCTTTGATTCTCACGTTGTTGTAACCCCAACAGAGATCCATCTTGGTGAACAGCTTCGCTCCCTTTAACCGCTCTATAATATCCAAAATCAACGGAATAGGATAATTATTTTTGATCGTCCACTTGTTTAGATATTGGTAGTCCTGCACCATGCGCTTTTTCCCGTCCTTTTTAGGTATGAAGAATACTGGAGTGGTCTGAGGAGACTTCGAAGGGCGTATGTATCCCTTTTCAAGTTCGCCCTTGATGAATTCTCGGATCTCTCCTAATTCTTCCTCTGAAAGGGGAATAAGCTGTCCCTTCCTGGCCGAGAAGCCGTCCATGAGCTCAATGGCATGGTCCCATGCTTTTCGCTCTGGCATGCGCTCTGACGCAAGCTTCGAGAATACCGATAAGTACTCATGTAGGGTTGGTGGCACCAGGGAAGCGGGATCCTCCGGATTCTCCACTTTCTGGGCATCTAGATTGTCCTCGATCCTGCAGATGATTCTATATATAGTGTCGGCAGAATCAATCTCCGACATTTTCTCCGCCTTCCTCCACTTGGGTTCGGGCCACAATTTAAAGCAATCAGGGGAGCACCTTGACATGGTAACGTCTCCGGTGTCCCAGTTGATCTCGGGATTATGATGGGTCAGCCAGGTGAATCCTAGGATCATTGGCATTTTCCCGAGTTTGGTTGCTTCAAATTGCGCTGTCTCTCTATGTCCCCGGTATTCAATGACTAGATCCACTGAGTGCGTAATGCTGCCTGCGGTATTTCTAGTACCATCCACATTGAATACCACAATCGGGTGTTCCTTTTTCTGGAACTTGAAGCCCTGCTTCTTTGCCCAATCCCAATCGATAAATAATCCAGTAGCACCGGAGTCGAGTAACACTGAACATGAGACTTTGCAACTATCCTGCCGAACAGCTACCGGGATAAGTATTTCTTTGTCCATATTATAAGTCCTTCGTAATTGTACAGGTGGGGATTTTATAGTAATAATGTCATTGGTAATTAATTTTTTATTCATTTCTTTTATTGGAGAATTAAGCACGGATTTCCCACCGCTGAGCTGTAGCTCACGAGGTTTTTTGTTTTCGGGGGCCTTGGAACGCTCCATACATCGACTGGTCGCCAGATTGGGAGATACTGGGGCTTCTGCCTCGCTCTTACCGATCTTAGTGACATCTAGCCCCATCACAGGGCTAGCCCCTACTGTTGCGTGGGCGACGTCTGACTGAGGATGTATACTAGGCACTCCCCTACTTCCTACTTCTCGCTGCGTGTCTACAGTCCCTCCTTGGGTTTTACTTACAGGGGAATTAAGCACCGATTCCCGCCGGCCAAGCCAGGACTTGTTGATGATTTCAGGGTCCTTTGCTCGTCCAGTATCCCATCCCGACTCTGGGTAGCCAGGGAGAGGGCGTCTGGTTTTCATGCTAGGCGTGCCCTTACTTTGCATACCGAGTTTTATCCAAGGTTGTTCCTTTTCTGAAAGCTCGCAGATCTCCATGTCCCGGTGGTCCCTGTGTGCCCTGACTGAGGACGGCGAGCTTGATGGGCTTGAACGCCTCCCTTTGTCGCTTGCAACAGCGGGTAACACTAATGACTGGTCGGATGGAAAATCCACTATGGCTAACGTACTTCGTACTATTCGCTGCGGATCCCCGGGTCCCCCCTGCGGTCTCATGCCCTGGTGGGATGTCACATCCGCTTCCGGGTCTTCTATTGTACACTCACCGAGTACATGGTACCTATTATAATTACTAGTGTCTTTCAATGCTACACTGTTCAGTTTGTAAGAAGAGTCCCAATTACCCCACTCGTTGGGGCTCATTGTCCATTTAAAAAATCGTAGTCCCTAAAATAGGCCCTAGCGGCCTCAAAGTCCATGTCCTTGGTGGCAGTCTGCCACTTAAGCGGAGTTGGAGTATACTCTGGGCTCCAGTTTTGGGGTGCCCCTGCTGTCTGGGGCTGCTCTTCCATCCGGCCAGTTTCCGGATTGTATAGTGCACGGGTATGATGACCCGCGGCGCCCTGTGGGCAACTTTCTCCTCCGCGTGCTCCTCCGCCTCCGCCGTTCTTCCTCTGAGGGCAGTCCCGCGTGAAGTGCGGGCCCTGGCAGGTGAAGCATCCTCCTCGGGGTCCTTGACTTGACGATGCTTGTGGTGCAGCGCCGATCTCCATGGGCTCGCCTCTCCCGGCCGTGACGCCATTGCTAGTGAGTCCCAGCTCGAAGTTGACTCGTTGTTTCCCCATGGTGATGTCATATTCCTCCACTCGGACACCAATCTCCTTTACTTTGTTGAAGAGATTGTTGAACCGGGGGAGGTGTTGGTGACCCCCTCGGAATACTTCTACGCGAATGACTGGGCTCATGTTTTTGATGAGCAAATCAATAGCGTGGGCGTCTTCCATGTTGCCCTGTTCCTTGAGGATGTAGAACTCTGTGAGCCACTCCTCCACTCTTCTGTTCCCCATCGCCAGGGACACGACCTTCTTGCGGGACCACTCCTTGGTCGTGCTTGGCAAGAAAGCGTCCGAGATCTGCTGCATGATGTCCTCCGGGGTCGGCCATGGAAGGGCACCGCTCTCGAACTGGCCGATGTGGTACCGGGCCCATTTCGCGGGAATGCGTCCCTTCATCCGAGTGAGAATGGCGGATGAGCAATCAAAGTTTGTTGTCAGCGCGGCGTTGTTGGCATGGAGCCACAATCGCACTCTGCTCCTCCAGGGAGCAAAATTGCCGGGTTCCCCATGGAACTCGCCGGGGTCCTTGACGCCAATGATCTTCTTTTCAATGGCAGCAGCACCAGGCGCGGCGTGTTGTATCGCCTGGTAGTTCTGTAGGAGACCAGCTAGTCTGGTGATCTCCGTCTGCTGCGCATTGGCCAGCTGGTTCATGCAGTTGAACTGTTGCTGCTGATCATGGATCTCCTGCTGTGCGCATTGGAGATCTGCGTCGTGGGCCGTCTGCATGCGGTCTAGCTCGCCCCAGATTGCTTGGGTTTGGGCGAGCGTGAACCCGTTGTAGGGGACGGTTGGGGGCGGCATCAGAGATGGGAAAGATAGTGTTCAAGTAAAAGTTGATGGTAGAAATATAAGTATCGTAAACAGCGTCTGGCCGCTGTGACTCGGTTGGGGCCAATAGCCGTTCCCCACACCTGACTATAGTAATAAGAGTACAGGAGATACTCCAGATGACAAGATGCACAGGTGACTTCTGTGTCACCGCTGGTGCTGACGTTGGCACGGCACGAGCTCTCCAGGGCGGGCACGCCAAGGATTTACGGACTGTGACTCCTAGGCCCACACTGTGACCTGGTCTTTTGCACAGCTGCTGCAAGTTAAGCACTTGCATGGTAACCTTTTGATAGTTTTTCGAACGAGATTCGTAACCTTAGGGAGGTTGCTCGACCAGCCCCTGTGAGCAACTCCTAAGGCGTGAGCCCCAGAAACCAACAACACAAGAAAAACCCGCTGAGAGTGGTAGACGACGAAGCCCTTTACAGGACGACGCCAAGAGAGTATGTCGGGATGAGGAGGACGACTGCTCGCCGACATGGCAAGACTGGGTGTAGATTCGTAGGAGGGATTCCCACAAGAACTCACTTAGAGTCTTGGGGCGTAGATTGCTCAGATTATATACAAGTACATGATGTTTGGTTGAGCCAAACAGACTAACTAATATGGTAAGGAATGTGTGCGCACAGACCAAGCAGTGCGGGGTACTACTACTAATGGTAAACAAGTGACGTATGTGTGATGTCATGCATGACGTGTTTATGACGCGTTTGTGACATCATAATGATATCATATAGAATGTCCGGGAATGTCATAGAATGATTATGTAAGTCAGTAATGTAAGATAGCCAAACCGGGTCATGTGACCGGTTATTGAAGTAGCCGGTCACGTGATCATGAAAAGCAAAATGAAGCGGAATTACAGCGCACTCCACGAGCTTTGTTGCGATCGTAAGTGTCGTGACTGGTCATGACTGTTCGTGAGTGCGATCGCAACACTACCCCCCCCGTTTAGGCTCCAATGTCCTCATTGACAAATTTGTTGAGCCGCAAGTGGAGTTCAGGCTCAGCCTTGGTATCGTTAACACGTGGAATAAATAGCTGATTGAATAAGTTAGGGTCAATCCCCCTTAGCCTCCGCGGCGCCGAGGGTTTTCGAGTTTCAAACTCTTTTAATTTAGCTTGAGCGTTTGTTAAGTTAGATGCAGGTTCCCAGGTCCTTGCATCGTCATCATAGCCCTTCCAGTGGACTAGATATTCTAATTTGCCCCCGCGCAGTCTAGAGTCTACAATCTTCTCAACTTCATACTCCGCATGGCCTTCCTTGTTAACCTCCGTGGGTCCAGGATGGTTGGTGCGTTGCCCGTCGAGTCGATCAATAAATGGTTTGATGCGACTTACGTTCACAACCGGGTGACAGTGCATATGAGAGGGTAACCGCAGTTCTACTGCGTTTGGTCCCATTAGTTTAGTTATAGAGTATGGTCCAAGCCATCGCTCCGCTAGTTTTCTTGATGGTCGGTCTACGAGATTAAGATTAGATGAAGATAGCCAGACTTCATCTCCAATCTTGTATTCCGGCGCATCGCTTCTTTTCTTGTCCGCGGATTGTTTCATCTTCTCCTTGATCCGCTCCAAGGCCTTCCTCGTGACCTCCAGGGTTTGTTTCATTTCTGCTTTTGTCTTGGCTACTGCCTCGACCTTCCCTTCTAGGGGTTCTACTCCCATTCTAGGCGCATAACTCCTAGTAACTTCAAATGGCGATTGACCAGTCGCTGAAGTTCTAGTGTTGTTGTGCGCGAATTGCGCCAGTGCTAGCCAATCAGTCCATGTGGATTGAGAGTCTGAGCAATACATGCAAAGGTATTTTTCCAGCTCCTGGTTGATTTGTTCTGTCTGACCATCCGTCTGTGGGTGATAGGCTGTAGAATAATTATTTTTGATGCCCAGCACCTTGGCAAGTTCGCGTGAGAACTTGCTCGCGAACTGGGGACCTCTATCTGACACTACTGTCTCTGGTAGTCCATGGTCCTTCCAAATATGGTCTCTGTAAAGACAGGATAGTTCTTTCGAAGAGACTTTGTCCGTGGTGGGTATAAATACTGCCTCCTTGCTAAATCGGTCAACGACAACCAATATTGCGGTGTACCCTCGCAATTTTGGTAGTCCTGTGATGAAGTCGGCCAAAATATCTTTCCAAGGGCCTGTAGGTATTGGTAATGGCTGCAGTTTGCCGGCCGGTGCTTTACCTGTGCCCTTGTTCCTTCCACACCTCTGACACGCTCCGACGTACTCTTGTACCATGTCCTTCATGTCCTTCCACCAATAGTTACGTTGCAATAATTCCAGCGTGCGTTCTACACCCGGATGTCCAGCACTCGGGTTATCATGATGCATGTCTAGCAACTGCATGCGTAACATGTGATCATGCGGCACAAATATTTTATTATTTACATAACATAGTCCATCCTTGATCTCTACCTCCTTGTTTTTGGTGTTTACAAGGTTTATATTGATATTTTTGGATTTTTGTCTAATCGCTGAAACCACGTCCATGGTTTTCAACTTGAGATTTTGAATGCGATGCCATTCTACATTCTTGAATGGCGGTAGCACCGTGATCCCTTTATTTTTGTCTCCCACGCCTTCTGCATGATCCTCTCTCCTGCTTAGGGCATCGACCTTTCCCATGGACGATCCCTTTTTATAGATAAGGCCATAGTTAAATCTGGTAAGGTACTGCCACCATCGTGCCTGACGATGATTAAGGTCTTGACTTTCCATGAAGTACATCAAGTTCGCATGGTCAGTCCAGACCTCAAATTTGATGTGCGATCCTTCCAGATATTGGCGCCAAGCCTGTAGCGCTCTTATAATGGCTAATAGCTCTTTATCATAGATAGGGTAATTAAGCTCTGCTCCTGTCAGAGCGTGCGAAATAAAAGCACATGGGTGCCATTTTTCATCTTCTAATAATACTGAGAGCACTGCTCCGGTCGCGAAGTCAGAAGCATCGGCTTCTACTCTCATTGGATGGCTGTTGTCCGGAAATGCGAGTATTGGCGCAGTTGTAAATGCTTTCTTCAACTCCTCGAACGCAGTGTTCTCCACCGTGGTCCATTGCCACCTCTCGTCCTTTTTTGTTAAGTTATGCAGAGGCCTGGCTATTCTACTGAAGTCCTTGATAAACCGGCGGTAGAAATTTGCCAGTCCGATAAACGATCTGACTCCTTTGACGTTTTTGGGTACTGGCCATGAGGTGATAGCTTCGACTTTGCTCGAATGCATTTCCACCTTTCCTTTTCCGACCAGAAATCCCAAGACGTCTACTTGTTCTACCATGAATGAACATTTCTCTGGTTTTATGAACAAATCGTTATCTTTGAGCCTCTGCAGGACTTCTTTTACTTTTTTCAGGTGGGCGTCTCTATCGCCATCTTTGCTGAAGATGAATATATTGTCTATATATACTACTACACAATCATCCATATCACCCAGTATATTGTTCATCATGTTCTGGAACGTAGCGGGCAAGTTACATAAGCCAAAATACATTACTTCTGGTTCGAAGGAGCCCAGAGGCGTGGTAAACGCTGCCTTCCACTGATCACCATCTTTGATCCGTACATTGTTGTAGCCCCAGCGCAGATCCATTTTGGTGAATAGTTTTGCTCCTTTTAACTGATCTATGAGATCTCCGATCAACGGAATTGGATAATTATTTTTGACCGTCCACTTGTTTAAATACCGGTAATCTTGCACCATACGCTTTTTCCTGTCCTTCTTGGGGATGAAGAACACCGGAGAAGTCTGTGGAGATTTAGAGGGTCGGATGTACCCTTTGTCCAATTCTCCCCTAATGAAGTCTCGGATCTCTCCTAGTTCTTCCTCCGAAAGAGGAATGAGTCTTCCCTTCCTGGCGGTAAAGCCATCCATGAGCTCAATGGCATGATCCCATGCCTTTTGTTCCGGCATGCGTTCAGATGCAATTTTTGAAAATACCGATAAGTACTTGTGTAAAGTTGGGGGTACCAAGGCTGCAGGATCATCCTGTGATTCCGCTTTCTTGGCATCTAAATTGTCCTTGATCCTGCGGATGATTCTATAGATAGTTTTGGCAGAATCAATCTCCGAATCTTTTTCCGCTTTCCTCCACCTAGGTTCGGGCCACAATTTGAAGCAGTTGTGTGGGCACCGGGACATTTTGACGTCACCAGTTTCCCAATTGATCTCAGGGTTATGGTGCGCTAACCAGTTAAACCCGAGAATCATGGGCATTTTTCCCAATTTGGTTACTTCAAACTGTGCCTTCTCTCTATGTCCCTTGTATTCAATCACAAGTTCCAACGAGTGCATGATACTACCCGCTGTGTTCTTGGATCCATCCACATTGAATACCGTAATGGGGTGTTCCTTCTTTGTGAACTTGAAGCCCTGCTTCTTGCCCCAATCCCAATCTATAAATAGCCCTGTGGCTCCGGAGTTGAGTAACGCTGAGCATGCTATCTCGCAATTCTCTTGTCGCACAGTCACAGGCATAAGTATTTCTCTGTCCATATTATAAGTACGTATCAATTGTACAGGCGGGGATTTTATAGATATAGTGTTTATATTGGCTAATTTTTTATGTATTTCTTCTATTGGGGAATTAAGCACGGATTTCCCACCGCCGAGCTGAGTTTCGCGAGGTTTTTCATTTTCAGGGGCCTTGGAACTCTCCATACATCGACTGACCACTGGTGCGGGGGTCCTGCAGGGTCGCTGCTGCCAGCCGCTCCCAGTGATATCTAGCTCCTTTTGAGAGCTAGCCCCTACTGTTGCGTGGGCGACGTCTGACTGAGGATAAATACTAGGCACTCCCCTACTTCTTACTTCTCGCTGCGCGAACTCAGACCCCCCTTGGGTATGCATGCCCTGGTGGGACGTTAAGTCCGCTTCCGGGTCTTCTATCGTACACTTACCGAGTACATGGTACCTATTATAATTAAAAGTGTCTTTCAATGCTACACTGTCTGAACAGTTTGAAGAGTCCCGATTACCCCGCTCATCGGAGCTCATTATCCGTTTAAAGATTTGTAGTCCCTAAAATAGGCTCTAGCGGCCTCAAAGTCCATGTCCTTGGTCGCGGCTTGCCACCGTAATGGGGTAGCACTGCTCCCATTTTGTGCCTCTGCTGTCTGAGGCTGCTCAATGAGTTTCCCCGTGTAGGGGTCATATAGAGCACGGGCTTGATGTCCCGTGGCGCCCTGTGGGCGACTTCCTTGCTGCTGCTGCTGCTGCCGTGGCTGGCCTCCCCCTTTCCTCTGCAGGCAGTCCCTTGCGAAGTGGGGACCTTGGCAGGTGAAACACCCTCCTCTAGGGCCACTACTTTGCGCCACCTGCGTAGCTCCTATCTCCATTGGTTCACCCATATAGGGCGGAGCACGCTGGTTTGCCGTGAAGGTCAATGGCTTTGGCTCGTAGTTAACCCTCCTCTTCCCGATTGTGATGTTGTATTCTTTGATCCGGATCCCAATAATGCGTACCGCGGCGTACACCTTTTTGAGATCCGTTTTGTGTTGACCTCCCACCCGATATAGTTCTTCCCGGATGGGGTTGCTCATATTTTTGATGAGCAAGTTGATCGCATGACCGTCCTCCACCTTGCCTTGTTCCTTCAAAATGAAGAACTCGGCCAGCCACTCCTCCACCCTTCTTTCTCCCATGCGGAGACCCAACAACTTCTTCCGTGCCCAATCTTTTGTGGAGCTCGGAAGGAATGCTTCTGCGACGAGTTTGAGCATCTCGTCTTCTGTGGGCCAGGGCTCGGCTCCACTCTTGTACAGGTCAATGTGGTATTGTGCCCACTTGGCCGGGATCTTGCCCTTCATCCGTGTAAGGATGGCGGAGGATTTATCAAAGTTGGTTGGCAGCGCGGAGGCATTGGCGTAGAGCCACAGCCCCATTCTACTTTTCCAGGGCGCGAAGTTCCCTGGTTCTCCGTCAAAGTCACCAGGATCTTTGACACCCACGATCTTCTTTTCGATAGCAGCGGGACCTGGCTGCGCGTGTTGGATGGCCTGATAGGCTGCCAGCTGACCTTGGAGCGTTGCGATTAATCTGGCTTGTGCTTGTGCCAGATCATGTGTTTCCTGGCGCTGAGTAGTTAACGCATTAATCTCGTCTTGCGCATCGCTCAGGTCAGAGTCAAATTGCCTCTGCATCTGGTCTAGCTGGGTCCAGATCTGGACCGACTGCTCAAGGTTGAATCCATCGTATGGGGTGGTGGGCGGAGGCATTGTTCAAAACAGTCCGAATGTTCAAGGCGAAGTACGATGTAAAAGTGTAAGTAAAGTAGACAGCGTCGGGCCGCTGTGACTCGATTGGGGCCAATAGCCTTTCCCCACACCAGACTATAGTAATAGGAGTACAGGAGATACTCCAGACAACGAGATGCACAGGTGACTTCTGTGTCGTTGCTGGCGCAAACGTCGGGTGGGCACAGGTGATCCACGCTGTTCAACTCCGCAGAGCGCAACAGATCGAGGAAGTGACTATAGACCCAATTGGGATCCTAGTTTCACTGCTCCTATAGACTAAGAGCTGACCTGCGTGGCCTCCCTTTCAACAATTTTCTCGAGTGAAACGCGGACCCTTAGGGAAGCTGCTCGGCTAGCCCCGGTACGTCGTTCCTGACCACAAAGCCTCCAAAAGCACTACTGGAAGGAGTTGCGGAGTGCAGGTCTTTGAGGACCGCTTTAACCCCCGGTCTCTACTTTGTTCGCACCTCGGGATGGTGGCACTCGCTATTTACTGCCCAACTGCCCTACAACAAGTGCGCCTCACGAGGACACGGCCAAAGCCAAAGAAGTTGAACTATAGTATAGGGATGCGGTCAAGCAATCAGGAGCCTTGCGGTTCTCCCTGTCCCTCGCTTTGCCACCGGCCTAATGCCTGGTACGTTTAAGGGCCTGGTGCCCAGCGCTTACGTAAAAGGTTTAAACGGGTCCCGAAGAAGCCAAAGTGGCTGTACGTAAAAAAACAGGCTCCAGGTCGACTCTCGACCAATAGGGTTCCAGCGAATACGCCCCGGAATGCGGCAAGGGTTGGTTTAGGGGGCAAAGGGAAGTGAGTTTTTTTGTGAGCAACTCCTAAGGCGCGAGCCCCAGAAACCAACAACACAAGAAAAACCCGCTAAGAGTGGTAGACGACGAAGCCCTTTACAGGACGACGCCGAGAGGGTATGTCGGGATGAGGAGGACGACTGCTCGCCGACATGGCAAGACTGGGTGTAGATTCATAGGAGGGATTCCCACAAGAACTCACTTAGAGTCTTGGGGCGTAGATTGCTCAGATTATATACAAGTACATGATGTTTGGTTGAGCCAAACAGACTAACTAATATGGTAAGGAATGTGTGCGCACAGACCAAGCAGTGCGGGGTACTACTACTAATGGTAAACAAGTGACGTATGTGTGATGTCATGCATGACGTGTTTATGACGCGTTTGTGACATCATAATGATATCATATAGAATGTCCGGGAATGTCATAGAATGATTATGTAAGTTGGTAATGTAAGATAGCCAAACCGGGTCATGTGACCGGTTATTGAAGTAGCCGGTCACGTGATCATGAAAAGCAAAATGAAGCGGAATTACAGCGCACTCCACGAGCTTTGTTGCGATCGTAAGTGTCATGACTGGTCATGACTGTTCGTGAGTGCAATCACGACAGCCCCGTTACGTAACCCCTGACCACAAAGCCCTCTCGAACCCTACTGGAAGGAGTCGCTGTGCGCTAGTCTCCGCGACTGCATTGACCACAGGTCTCGACTTCTGGTCGATCTCCGACAGAGTAGGAGTCCAGGATTCCCAAAGGTACCCTGGGATCCTTTGTGGAGGTAGAGCGGGAGCTGAAGATGGGCGCTCGATTGTGTCGCGATCGCTCATGACAGCATGACCAGTCATGACCTATATCTATTTTTAGCCACTTTATATTTTCTCAAGTCACGTGGCTGGTCTGGGCCCAACTATAAATAGTTCTCATCATGTGATCATAATTGGCCACTCCACAATGACAACATAGATGACATCAAAACTACGTCATAAACGCATCATCACCGTGTCATACATGACCTCATACATACATCACTCCTTTAACCATTAGTAGTAGTACACGGCATAGCATGGTCTGTGCATCCACAGTCATTACCATACGTAGATACTTGTTTGGCTTAACCAAACAAACCTGTACTTGTATATAGTCTGAGCAATGAATCGCCCCAAGACTCTAAGTGAGTTCTTGTGGGATTACCTCCTACAAATCGTACACCTAGTCTTGCCACATTGGCAAGCAGTCAAACATCCCGCTTTACCTCTCGGTGTTGTCCCATACGGGGCTTTGTTGTCTATCTGGGGGTTGGTTCTTGAGTGTAGTGGTCGCCTTGGGCTCGCGCCTTAGGAGTCGCTCACAAAAGAACTCACTTCCGTTCCTCACCAACCAACCTTTGCCGCATTCCGGCGGTGTATTTGCCGGAGCCCTTTTTTGTAGTTACCACCGACTTTCGGCTTCTTTTCTGGCACCTTTATCTTTTACGTAAGACCTGGGTCTTAGGCCCTTAAACATACCTCGCATTTAGGCAGGTGGCAAAACGAGAGGGAGGGGAATCCCGTGAGGGCCCCGATTGCCTGATGAGCACCTCTGAACAATACACGTTTAGAATTCTTTGGCTTTGGCCGCGTCCTCGTGAGGTGCACTTGTTGTAGGACAGTAGGGCAGTAAATAGCGAACACCACCACTTAAGGATCTGAGGCGGAGAGAACGCAACTCCTCCCCAGTCAAACAAGGAGGAACATACAGGACCAGCCGAGGACAATCCCCAAGTCCAGCACGATGACGCTCCCGCTCCCCAGGTTGAGCAGATCATCAACGCCAACAACGTAGTCCCTCAGCCAGATGTGTCCTGGACCGAGGGTGATGGTCGCCTATATCTGGCAGCCGGACACCTGACCGACGATCTTCTGAGGACAATTGAACACTCGTCCATTGCCATACTGACCACGGTCGGACACACAAGTCCGCTCAGACAATGGTTACAGGTCCTGATCAAAACCGGCGCAATGAACCAAGAACAGGTGCATCCCCGAGTAACAGGGTCTGGACAACCAATCCAAGGCGAGAGCAAACAACCGGAGGTGTGGGTAGCACAGTCGTGCCCCTAGTGTTGGATGACAATGTGTGATTGGCACGCAGACGGGCAACCGTCACAGACCACGACTCAGAGGACAGAAGGGTTGTGGCAGAACTGAGAGGTGAGAGTTCCGCTGTCGGACACCACACCCCCTCCAATCCAGTTGCCGCCCGTTGTGCAGCTGCTGAGCGAGTTAGGGTGATCATCAAACGAGTGACCCTTGACTCCCATGACCTTTGCACCAAACCCAGAGGATCCATTAATGCCGCAGGCCAACCAGCTACCTCTGCCCTCCGACCAGCATCCACGACATGGAGAGCGGACGAGAGCGCAGGACGGCAGCCCGCAACTACAGCTTCCATTGATGGGCAGGTGGCAGTACATGAACCAAGCTCAGCTCCAGCAGCTAATAATGCAGGTGCACGTCTTGGAGGGAGTCCCCACGCAAGCAAGGAACCTCAACCTCGAAGAGTCACGCCTCTACCTGAGCGCTCTAACGGGAGCCCGAAGGAACGTCATGGCCTCAACAAACAAATTGGTGAGGGATCTGATGAGAGACCGGCTAAATGCGCGCGCAATGCGATCAGCGACTCATTCGTCAAACGCTGCCCCACACCAGAGGTCTCCTTTGGAGAATCTTGAGCGCAACCGTCCTCCAATGACCAACCCATTCCGGCCAGCACTTCGGATGTGAAACAGCACCCCAAGGGACAACCGTCCACAACCAGCAGCACGCCTGCGGGACGGGCCCCAGAGGCCAACGCTGCCCAGCAGAGCAAGGGAAACTTTCAACCAAGTACATCAGGGAGTACCCAGGGCAGAGAACCCAAGGAGGATACTGTCTCTCTTGGAACTCCAGAACCTAGTATCGAGGTTAGAAAGCCTCGACAGGAGGTCCCGAGACGATGACGATAACTCCCAGGGTCAAAGGCAAGGCAGGTCATCGTTCTAAGCGATACAGACGTCTGCATAGCGGATAAGGAAGAGATTGACGAGTATGTCCCTTCTCACTCATTGCAAACTGATCCTCACGAGTTGTCACAGTATGATCATGGACATTGTGTAGTTGTACACAGTAGAATAGACACTGCACAAGACACTGTAAATCATGTACGATACGATGAATGCAATGCAGTTGCATATCTGGCAGAGAGTGCGAATGATGATGAGCAATTGGGTCAGTCCTTCTGGACATTTGACTCAGGCGCAAGCAAGCATTTTACCTGTAGTCTAAATGACTTCTTAATGTATCACATGATTCCAAAGTCTGAGTGAACGCAAGTTAAGTCACTACAAGGAAAAGCTGAGATACAGGCCATAGGGACCGTCTTACTCAATCATGACAATTCCACTGGCAGACGCGCAACCACTCATCTCTATCCAGTCTACTATGTAGCTGGTTTCAACTCCCGATTACTCTCGGCTGGTCATCTCTTGAGCACAGGCTTAAAGATTGAGATGAAGAAAGCTGCAGCAATGGTATTGAGTACAAACGGTGATGAGGTACTTTATTGCCCACAGAGGAGTACATATGATACAATTTATGGGCTCTGGGCGCATGAGGATATCGAACCTCGCGCTCTTGCGGCAGTCAGCACGACTGACTATGCAATTGTTCACCAACGGTTTGGACATGTGCAAAGCAAAGCCATACAGCACTTAGCTAAGCACGTCGAAGGATATAACCTTTGTGTATCTGCACCCAAAGATGATCCTCCTTGTGATGGCTGCACCAAGGGAAAGATGAAAAACCGTCCCTTCCCCAAGGACACTCGCAGAGCAGACCATTTTCTCGAGTTAGTTCACGCGGACCTGAAGGTCGCTCCAATGGACAGACCATCAGTCTTGGGCTATAGGAACTTCCTCATCATCGTTGACAACCACTTGTCTTTTGTCTGGATTTATCTTATTAAGAAAAAGTCCCAGGCCATTGACCAAGTACAAACGTGGATACGTCAGGTCACCAAAGACCACACAATTAGACAGTTCCATACCAATTCAGGGGGAGAATTCTCCTCGAATGCATTCCTAAAACTACTCAATGATAATGGGATAAAATGCTTGCTCTCCATACCATATGCTCACCAGCAAAGTGGGCGTGTGGAA